ACATTATTTACAGATTTTTGTAACTTTAAATGTATTTCAAATGAAAAACTGAATACTAATTTTGTTCTGATTACTAAGTGTAGAGTGCTTGAGTGATAGTTGCAAGCTGTCCACTTTTTCAGGCTTCCCACTAGCCTTGTTTACATGCATACCACGTCATGCATGTGGCTGGGTTAGTCCATTTCATGAATGAGTTACTGGTGGTGTTTTTACAGATGTCCCTCTGTATGATACAGCTGCCTGCCCTACTCTACATCCACCACATCATGGGACCACAAAGCATTTGGGTTGTGGTCCATTGTAGTGACATTCTTGAGTACTTGTGCAACGTACCACGTGTTGGCTTTCATCATATGTGAGGATTTCCATCCTCTCCAAGCCATCTGTGTACTCTACTTCCATTTCTTCTGGTGTGGTAGCTGGGGTTTCAATAGGTGTGGTCCATTCATTGGGTTGTTGATGTTGGGGTCCAGGCCCCATTGGGTCATCTGATGTATCCCGTATCTGGGGGACAGCCTCTGGTGTGGGATGGTATGGGATGTCCACATCTGGGTTTGTCTTCCAGAGGAAGTGGCAGTTGTACCAGGTCACCTAGTTGCACCTGTCAATGTGTATGTGGTATTACTTATTGCCTAGTGCCTCCACAACTCTCCCAGTTTTCCCCCATTGGTGTGGGTATAAACCAGCTTGGTTCTGTATTCCCCAATTTCTAGTTCTCAAAGTGGGCGGCTGTCAGTGCCAGAAACTTTTCATTCTTCATATGTCTTTTGGCCATTGCTGTCTCCCTATACCGGCTGATCTCATCCCACTGTTTATGAATTCAGTTGTCTTGGAGGGCTGGGAGATGGTCTTTTATCATACATCCATACATCATCATCACCAGAGACATGTCCAGGTCTTGAATGGGGTATTACGGTGTGTTAATAGGATAGGTGGTCAGTGCTGTCCAATATTTGCTTGGCTGTTTTTACTGCCAATTCTGCCCATCTGGGGATTATTGAGGAACACATTACATACCTGGGAATTGAATGGTGGTCCTCTGTTGGACAAATTTCTTCTGGGGCACCATATGTGCAAGAACCAATTCTGTAGGGTGTCACATGCTGCTGTGGCCTTCCCAGATGACATAAGAACAACTTCTACCATCCCGTGTACTGATTTGTGTATACCAAGTAATTTTTTCCTTGCAGGTTGAAGAAATCTGTCATTGTCTTTTGGAATGGGAATTTGGGATTCGACAGTGGCATCAAGGGTTCCCTAGGCTGTGACGGGGCCATAACATTGCATGTTCTGCATTGGGCTCTAGTCTGTTGAATACTCGTGTCTAGCCCTGGCCAAAATAATCATTGTCTGGCATTTGCCAGCATGCCATTAATGCCCTGATGTGTGGAATAGAATGACTCGAGTACTTCTCCCTGTCATCTTTTGGGTATGAGTATCTTGTTCTCTATTGTCACTCCTTCCAGAGAGTATAATGCTTCTTTCATCAGCCAAAATCAGTGGATATTCACTGGTAGTTCATACCAAAACTTGGGGAACCCCTTCCATATGTGTTTCACCAGGGACTAACATTCCTTGTAACATAGCTCCTGTCCCATATGATTGCCTTTAACCTTGGGTTTTGTTCATAGGTGAATTAAATGATGCCTTTATACCACTGTTGATCATCTGTGCTGAATCTTTACTAGTTGTACCATCATGTCTTGGCACTGCAGAGTACCTTGATGTGCAATCCAGTGTGACATTGTGTTTTCCAGAGAGGTGCTTTATATAGAACTTGTACATTAATGAATGTTCTTTGAGGCTGAATACTTGGTTTTTTTTTATGTTCTCCAGAGTCTTGTCTAAGAAAATTTTTATTAGGTGCTTGTGGTCAACTGTTACTAGTAGCTTCGAACATCCCAATATGAACATTCAACACGACTATCTGTATACTTGTGCCAGTGCCTCCCCCTCCACCGGTGCATAGTGTGACTAAGTGTCACTGGTGAATCAGGATCCTGCTAGAATTAGCTTCCAGTGGTCTTCACCACAAATTAGTCCCACTTCAATGACAGTTACTGTGCTTCTGAAACAGAAAGTAACCTACCCCTGTTCTGCTAAAGTTTGTTGACAGACACTTTGGCCTATTGACTTTGAATGTCTTGACATTGTCCTCGATTTCTTGTGCAATCCTTTGTTTTGATTTGTTGAATATTTGTTCAAGTGTATTGTCCCAGTAGAACTTCCGGTCCTTTGTTTTTAGCAATTCCTGGAAAGGAGCCATTATCTTGGTTTGGGAGAATGTATATGAGACTTAGTTCACAATTCCAAACCAGGATCTGACGTTGGTGAAGTTTTGGGGCATAGGGAACTGCAGGATTGCTTCCGTCATCCCCTTAGTGTGTTTTTTCCTGTCCTCCGTTATACGGAACCCAGCAAAATTGACCTCCTTTTCTATGAAGTGAAATTGAAGACAATGCCATTGTTGCTGCAGTAGTTATTATAGTCCATTGTGTGCAAAAATGATGCTTCTGTGGAGTTATCCCAGAGTATACTATCATCGAACATCAGGTTTTTGGACCATATATTGATGGTTATATCATCGAATTGATGAGTATATGCAACTTTGGACTTGTGGAATCCCTGTGGGGCCCAAAAGTATCTGCCCCATTCAGTGATAAATGTAGTTGTGTCATGTGCATCTGGGGAGAGGGGAAGGTTATGGTACCCATTCCATGTGTCCAAGACAGTTTTCCTCATATGTGCTAGCACCACTGAACCCTGATTAAATGGAAATGGGGCATAGTGGGTCTCCCTCAGTATCAGCATTGAGCTTCTGTAAGTCTGCCATGCGCCTGGGCAAGCCATCATTTTTTGGTGCAACCACCATCCTAGAGCACCAAGTTGTGAGCGTACCAACCCTTCTTTTCCAATGATGTGGAACTTGGTTGGTGCTGTCTCTGGAATGAAGTTGATTGGTTTTCCTTTCATGGTCTGTAGCGGTTGGTGTGGACATATGTTGAATATGCTGGATTCAAAATAATCCAGCATCCATTGCTACAGTCAGGGTTTATTGCTCTCCATAGGGGTAATTGGGATGTTTGCCAGCTTAGGTGGGATAGCCATTCTTCTAGGGTATCCACACGAGGCCTTTCCATTGTCACTGCTTGCCATGTTCTGCCATGTTGAGGTTGGAAAGTTGGGAGGTAGTAGAGGCCGATTCAGATGTGTTCTTCGACACATATATGGTTTGGTGTGTTTCTGGATTCAGTGACTAGTTGGCACTAGGTATTCATCTGGGCATCTAAGAAATTTCTGTATCGCCAGTCCACTGGAGCACAGACATGCTCCAGTGTCAGTTGCTGTGGTAATTTGGTGGGTGTGAAGGCTATACAGAATCATGGTTACTTCTGTTAAGGATGATGGTGGATCTGGAGACTATCCTCGGAACTTGCTTCCATTCCAAATGAAGTGAGACATGCCTTTGGTTGTGCTGGGTTCCCTTTACCCCTCTATTTACTTCGCCTCAATTAGCGAGCAATCCTGCTGGGATTCTCATGTTTTGTCATGCTCATTGTCGATTAGTTAGTGGCCCTGTTTTGGGGTCTCTGGCACACCCTCTCCATGTGCCCAATTAATCCATAATTAAAACATGCCAACTTAGCTGCTAGGTAGTTCTTCTGATCATTTGGGGTGTGAGATCCTTTCATACCCTCTGCAGGGCTTGGCATATTGTGGGATCAGGGAGGACTTGACTTTATAGGATTGTTACTCATAGTCTGACTTTCACACATTGGATAATGTAATGGGGGTGTATAGTGCTGTGGAGATAAAGGGTCAACTTCTCTGCCATTTCTAGGCTGACTAACCTGTTGAATTTCTGCTCAATATCTTGCTTTAGTGTTTGACATTAGCAATTCCTGCCACTATTTGTCCTGTAACATATTGTTGGAGTAATTCACTTGTCAACTGCAGTTTGTTGTGTTTCCGCAAGTAACTATAAACTCACAAAATTTTGCCCAGGCTCATAGCCATGCTAAAAAATGGGTGATTGACTGCCACTCTTTCTGCCTCATGGAGTAAAACCCATCCACTTCTTTGTGTAACCCCCTGACAGGCTGTATTTGCTGTAACAGCTGTTCTTCTGTTGCAGAGTTGAGTGTCATGGCCCCCACTAGTTTGAATAGGAGCCTTTTTACCTCTGGAGGACATGCCGTCCTCAGATTGTTCTGGGTAAATGCTGGGTCTGTTAGTTCACACATCCCTTTATAACAGGTTCATGCATCAATAAACATTGCCCAGCTACTGTCTGTTATGTCCAGTCCTATCGTAGATCATTCCAGTTTTCTAACTTGAGACATGTTCCTTCCTTTCATAGTGTGATGTTTTCTTTTTGTAGTTCAACAAATTGTTGCATAAGTTGCAAATATTGTTGGTCCATAGCTGGTTTCATCTCCATGTTTCAAAGTCATCAATTTGAACATTGGTATTTTTTGGAGTTCTAAAAAGAATGATTCTATTGGTGATGCCATGTAAAGTGCTTGAGTTACAATCTGTCCACTTTCTCAGACTACCTGCAATCCTTGTTCACATCCATACCACGTCTTGCATGTGGCCAGGTTAGCCCATTTCATGAATGGATTAATGGTGTTGTTCTTATGGACGTCCCTCTGTATGATATGGCCGCCTGTCCTATTCTACAGTAAGCATTTTCACTTTTATCATTTATACTGCCATATTGTACAAGAATTGAAGGAAATCTTTGATACAACAGATTTTACTTATTCTATAGGGAAACAAATTTCACTGATGTTGTCCATATTCTTAATTAAAACTGGATAAAAAGAAAATTCAGTTGACAAAAACAAAGTGATATTATTAAGACAAATTTCTAATTTTACTTTGAATATGTTAAGAAAAATGAAAAACTTTTTTCTTACAGCACTGAATTAATATTATCAATATATAATTGTAGAAATTAATAACAAAATGACTATAAAATGATACAAGATTCTCACCTGTTTGAAAACTATCATCATAGTCAAATTCTGACATGTCACTATCACTGAAACCTCGAGATCCGGCTGGTGGAGATAGATGAACTTTTTGAATATCATCAGGATCCTGACTACTTTTCTGAAAGGAAGAGAAAATGACATAATCAGGAGAAATTAATTTATAGAATACTTTAAAAAAGATCAAATGGCAAAAAGTGAAATAATTTACAGTTTATAGAAATATGTAAATGAAATGCCAATGGAAGGCAATTCTCATTAGCCATACCCCTCAACGTTTCAACAATGGCTAAACACCATGAGTGATGCCTAGATTAATACCAAGGAAACTGAGATCTTGTAGTAAATTACAATCCTAATCTTATATGATTTTCATGTGGGAAATGAAGATCTCAGGAATGTGAGCATGTTCACATATGATTATCTGACAGAGTGTTACATTACAGTGTCATGGAAAAAGGACAAACTAGGTTTGAGAGAGTCAACATGAAACATGACTGGCATTTATTAGGTACCAGAAGAAAGAGAATGAGAAAGGGCTTAGAGAGAAAAGAGACATATAAGGGAGCAAAAATCACGTTCCTCAAGGTCAATTAGGGAGCAACATTAAACTGTGATGCAAAGGGTGTATACATTAGACAATAATATAACATTCCCCTTTTTGTAAGTAGAGACTACAATCTTATGTACAGTCCTTGACCAGTTTGACAAGGTAACTTTAAAAATTGAATTCTTAGAATGTAAATTAACAATGTACAATTGCGTAGAATTTATCAGATGTTATTTCAATTCCCTAGACATGTTTTCAACATTAAAATGCATATTTACACCTTTTCTTTTTTTTATTAATCCATGAATTATAAACAGCTGTAAGTTAACCTCACTTTTATGATTTTCAATTGTGTATAGGCCCATTTTGCAAATGAATGCTATTAGATAAATTTTCTACCTCATAGTCTATTGCATTTAAAGATTAAATTATAAAGTTTGTTGTGATATTTTATTTAACAAACAGGTTAACAAATGTACTGCATTTGGCTGTTCTAGTGGATATGTTACTAACAGTGAAAAAATTTGACATTTTCTTTTCCTCTTAGAAAATCCAACCTCGTAAAAAAAAAAATGGATAAAATTTGTTAATCATATTGATTGGTTTCTTATGAAAAATTCAGTTCTCTGTATGAAACATTTTGAGGAGAAATTTATTTTGAAAGGAAAATGAAATGAACTGGATTGGGATTTACATCCAATACCTATAATACATTCAGAAAAAAATAAGAAAACTGTCTCTTTTGCTGAATACAAGGGAATTCAGAAAGCCTCCAAAACAACGACTGGTCCAAACTGATGAAATACATGATTTTATTTCAGCTGATAAGATAAAGGATTTTACTCAATTGGAAGAAGCAAAGTGTTGTCCTAACGGTTTTGAATTTAAAAAAAAAAAGGAAGATTATTTTGATCCTGAAACACATTTTCCATCTATAAAAGAATGTATTCACATTGACCAAAACCTTCACATCCAGCTCCAGTGTGATGGAACCTCTACATCATTACTTCAGTGGTTTATACATGGACATAATGCTAAACTCATAAGATGTACCATGTTAGAAACATTTTTCCAAACTATATACAAAATGTGGTGGAAAAACAACCATACTCAATTCTAAAAGAATTACAAAAATAACAAACAAAAAAACAACATTACCAACCAAGAGGTTGTCCTTCATTTTCTGCAGAATTAATATGTTATGCATTACTACTGTGTTATACATCTCAACAAGTCTACAAATTACTTCTGGAGAAATTTCCATTCCCATCTTTTTGCATATTAGAGAAAATTCAAAAAAATTAATTAAACATTTGCAATGTGAAATGTCTTCCCCAGTTATAGTAGGCAATGATAGTGATGATGCTACAGAGAAGCAGTACTTTGACTTACTTTCTCAAGGAGGTTTTACAGTTCCATCTAGCCAAATGTCAGAGTTTGTTTATGTCTGTTTTGCTATACTTGAATATATAGATAAATTTATTGTAAAACATAATGAATCCATTACAAGAAAGTCTGTTGAAAGAATTTTGGCAACTTATTCTCCAAAATATGTTTTTACCTATGTTACGACCCTCTCCCATCCTCTAACCGGATCAATAGTGGAAATAGAAGATGATCGCAACCTGTATTATTATTTTTAACATTTATACAATTCTTATAAAATATTTCCTTCCCCAAGGGTCTCTTTCTGATTGATCATACACGGCTGAGTGGAAACGATTAAGGAACAAACATAATAGGCGACAAACAATGGTAAGCCAGATATAGAGACAAGGAATAAATTTATTATCAAAACATACAACAGAGGGAAAATGAAAGATAGGCAAAACAAAAAAAAAACAATATGTCAAAAATAAACATTGTGGACAAAATAGTGGGAGGGGAACCTATACATTCAGAAAGGTAAATTACAGATCAACATATGATCTTGTGCCACACTTGCATGAATTTACAAAACAAGTGCCACACTTGCATGAATTTACAAAACATGAAAAGGTAAAACAAGCAGAGAGAAACTTATAATAAAAAACCTCATGCCAAGCTTGCATGAGAGTATAAACATAAAAAAATACATTAAACAAAATGAAAACATAAGAGAAACAATGAACTTATATGGTCTTTTACTTTAATGTTTCTTATATCTATTTCTTCTTTTCCTTTCTGTATAAGCATCTGTTTTGAGGTCTTTTCTCTCTTTCTTTTTCCTTTCGTCAGGTCTTGAATTTCCCTTGAAGTCTTTCCTTTCTTTTTCTGTTTGTATAAGTATCTTTTTTTGAGATCTTTTCTTACTCTCTTTTTCTTTTCATCTGGTCTAGGGCCTTGGGTGATGAATGAATTAAAGTTGTTGTCTTTCTCTTGATGTAGCAGCATTCTTCGTATGCCGGAGTTTATTTCCTTGAATTCAAACACTTCTTTCGCATATCCAAATCTATAGCTGATCATTGCACTTGTAGTTGATCGTCTGTTCAGTTCGAAGAGGGACATTTTTCACATGACCAATTTTATAACTGATTATTGCCTTCATAGCCAACTATCCATTTCATTCAAAAATAGACACACTTTTGCATACCTAAATCTATAGCTGACTATTGCGGTCACAACAGACTCATCCTTCCAGTCTTAAAAACTTGGACAGGGACTTTTTTCACATAACCATTACAGGACTATCGCATTATAGTGGACCCGTCTGTCCAGCCTAAAGGACTAACTTTTCACTTCGCTGTTTGTTTGTTTTTTTTTTTATTTAATCTTTTTTTTCTCATCACGTGGTCCTTATTTTCAAATATGATCCTTTTTTCTGTGTGAGTGAAATAAGGTCATTGACCCTTTCTCTCATCTGCAAGGTCAGAGAGAGTTTAAAGTGTTTCAGTTTCTCTATCTGGGATCCATTAGGCTAAATGATGTTGTCAACACATGATTAAAAGAGAAAGAAAGTGTACAGTCTGGTTAATATCTGTCAACATTCAATTCAATTCTACCTTATCATTTTGCTTTCCTATTTTTACGTTTTCTGAAAGTATTGAGCTTTTTATTTAGAATGGTTCTAAAATATGAGCATTGATATAGCTTTTATAATAAATTTAGATGAGGGTTTGTAACACTTGTGAACAACACACTGAAAAAAGGAATTCACTTTGCAGTAAAAATTATTGTGACTAAATTTTACAACAACAAATGAAAGTTTTCATCAGATGACATTCAAAAAAATATTGTAGAATATTTTTAAAAAGTCAAAGGTAAAAAAAATTGATATATAGAGAAACTGTAGATCATTTTTTTTACTTGTAATTGCTTTGTATTACTTCTTTAATAACTCTTTTTGTTTGTTTACAATCTTTTACTTTTCTGTTTAAAAAGAGAAAAAAATAACCTGTTTGTGTATTTTTGGGCAGTTTTAACATGTTTTACATAAAACAGACATAAATTGACTATAAACCAAATATGCCTGTTAGAAATTAGCCTGAAATATGAATGTGGGGCCATATTAGTGGGTTGTATGGACACTGAGGTGGAGGAAATGCCTCCGCCCCACTCTGCTTCCTTGAAGAGGACTAGGGAGGAGGGAGACAAAACAGAGGAACCAGTAGAAAAACATGCTGGCTGAAGTAGGGCGGAGAGGCACATGGACAAAACCTGGTCCCTACCCGTCCCTGCTTCGCCGAAAGAACTTTGCCAAATAGTCTTGCCTGAAGCAAGGAGCCTTGAGGAGCCAAACAATTCAGAGCAATCTGCATCTGATCTGCATGATCATAGAGGGTGTAAAAGATGATGAGGCTGCGCTGATCAATTTGGATCAGTCCAAGGCATTTGATAGGGTTGACCATCGCTATTTTGCTGCTGTCCTGCAGGCTGCCGGATTCAAACCCGACTTCTGCCGCTGGATTAGCCTGCTGTATCGCTCCCCCAGTGCTGTGGTACAGGTGAATAGGAAGCTGTCAGGTGCTTTTGCGCTATCTCGGTCAGTTCATCAGGGTTGTCCACTGTCGCCCCTACTTTATGCTTTGATGTTGGAGCCTCCCCTTTGCCAGCAAGTCTAGCCCTACATGGAATTGCTGTCCCTGGAGGGGCTTGAGCCAGGGTTTCTGTGTACGCTGATGTGTTGTCCCATAATAACACTGAGGTGGTACTGAAGGCGCTTGATCGGTACGAAAAGGTGACAGGGGACAAGATTAACTGCAACAAGTGTTCTGGCTTGTGATTAGGTGCCTGGGAAAGGGTCGATCTTCTGGGGCCCTTTGGTTGGACGGACAGTCCTGTCTGCATTCTTTTCTTGGAGTGTGGTTTGGGCCTGACCTCCAGCTGGAGAAAATTTGGTCAGAAGTACAGGCGAAGGTCAGCACGGCTGCTGAGACTTGGCATCGACGGAGATTGTCCGTAAAGGGCAGGACGGAGGCGTGTGCCACTTACGTCTTCCTGATTGTCCTTTACCGCTTGTCTGTACTTCCCCTCTGTAAGGACTATAAGAAGGCACTCAAGTGATTGCTATCCTCCATTTTGTGGAGGGGGACGCAGTTATAAGGTTGACAGAGGAGTCTGTGCACAACATCCATATCATGGGGGACTGGGAA